AGCAATCTTGTGGATCCGGGGTTCTAGCTGAAGGTAGGCTTGCCGACTTGATCAGGCGAGTTGCTACATTTGGTATGGTGCTGATGAAGCTCGACCTCCGTCAGGTATTCAACTAATCCATGTATTTGACATGATCATTGAGGGACTAAATAAACTATCTCCTCGATACCTAAACTCGATGAGCCAAAAGTGTCATTTCCCACTGGAGTAATATATGTACCCACTCATTTATATATAAATATGTGCTGGATGCAGGAATCTTGCAGGCACTCAGAAACACTTGATGCAATAACCACATACCTAGACATGGGGTCATACAGCGAGTGGGATGAGGACCGTAAACTTGAATTTTTGACAAAGGAATTAAAAGGGAAGAGGCCTTTAGTACCTTTAACCATAGAGGTCGTCAAATCTTGTTCTCTTATTTTGACATTATCATTCACATTTTTTAGTACCCCATTGTTCCCATCTCAAATCTCGATGTTCTAATCTTTGTTTGTTAAACACTATCTCATTTTGTTCGTATAAAGGTTTCTTCGGATGTTAAGGAAGTTTTGGACACGTTTAGAGTAGCCGCTGAACTAGGGAGTGATTCTCTTGGTGCTTATGTTATCTCAATGGCCTCACATGTATGTGCAATCATTCTTCCATTGGTTTTTGTTGATTCTTTTTATCACTCTTACTTTGTGCATAAAATTCTAAAACGGCGACTATATTTTTGGGAGATATATAATATACATAGGTCAAATATGCATATGCATATATTATCATTTGTTTTCTCCTTTGTCGCGTCAAGAAAAAGACTTAAGTATGAGTGCACTTGTTGGGCATTGACAGGCCAGTGATGTTCTTGCTGTGGAGCTCTTACAGAAGGATGCTCGCCTTGCCGTTGCCGGGGAACTCAGTAAACCGTGTCCCGGTACAACGTAAGACCAAATTGTAAATATCCGGCCTGTTTACTTGATGCACATCAGATCTTTTCAGTTATGTACTGTTTTTTTTTTTGTTTTTTTGAACAAATGAATAGACTTCGGGTGGTTCCACTGTTTGAAACCGTGAAGGATTTGAGAGGGGCTGGTTCGGTAATCAGAAAATTACTGTCAATAGACTGGTACCGCGACCACATTGTAAAGAACCATAATGGACATCAAGAGGTACCCCCTCAAAACGCTTGTACTATATTCTTATAATATATATAGTCTTTTTTAGCTTGTGTTTGATGTGGGACTATATCCTCAAAACTCACCTTAAAGAATAATGTGTGTGTGTGTGTAGGTGATGGTGGGGTATTCTGACTCCGGGAAAGACGCGGGTCGTTTTACCGCTGCATGGGAGCTTTATAAAGCCCAAGAAGATGTCGTTGCCGCGTGCAATGAGTACGGCATCAAGGTCACTCTCTTCCATGGTCGCGGGGGAAGCATTGGCCGGGGCGGTGGTCCCACCTACCTCGCCATTCAATCCCAACCACCTGGTTCTGTTATGGTCAGTTCCCTATTCAGCACCACAAGTTTGAGCTTTTGGTTGAATTAGTTTCTTTAAAAATCCCTGGTAAAATTTGTCTAGGGTACGGTCCGGTCAACGGAACAAGGAGAAATGGTCCAGGCAAAATTCGGACTACCGCAGGTCGCGGTGAGGCAGCTGGAGATCTATACAACGGCGGTACTACTAGCCACCTTGCGCCCGCCCCAACCCCCACGCGAACAGAAATGGCGTAACCTAATGGAAGAGATCTCAAACACGAGTTGCGACAACTACCGAAGCACCGTATACGAAAACCCGGAGTTCCTTGCGTACTTCCACAAAGCAACCCCTCAAGCCGAGCTCGGGCACCTCAACATCGGGAGCCGGCCCACGCGAAGGAATAAGAACACGGCGGGAATAGGCCACCTCCGCGCGATCCCGTGGATTTTCGCGTGGACCCAGACGAGGTTCGTCCTCCCCTCGTGGCTCGGTGTCGGGGCGGGGCTCAAGGGCGTTTGCGACAAAGGGCACACGGAAGAGTTGCGTGAGATGTACAAAGACTGGCCCTTCTTCCAGTCGACGGTCGACCTGATCGAGATGGTTCTCGGGAAAGCGGACATCCCCATCGCGAAGCACTACGACGAGGTGTTGGTGTCGCCGGGGAGGCAAAAGCTCGGGGCGGAGCTCCGGGGAGAGCTTCTGGCGACGGAGGAGTACGTGCTTTTGGTGACGGGGCACGGGAAGCTGTCGGAGAACAACCGGAGCCTGAGGAGGTTGATGGAGAGCAGGCTTCCATACTTGAACCCAATGAATATTTTGCAGGTGGAGATACTGAAGAGGTTGCGGCGCGACGCCTATAACCACAAGCTTAGAGACGCTTTGCTTATCACCATCAACGGGATTGCCGCCGGCATGAGAAATACTGGTTAATTAATTAATGGGGAATTAAATATCTAATTCCTATTTCTCGTTGAATGCAAAGAAACTTAAAAAATTATAATGATAATGTTAATATGTAATAAGGAAACTCATATCTTCACATCATATGCATCATCAATATTTTTGTTTGCAAAAATGTTCACATGGAAATTGTTAAGGTTAAATTAAGTAAATAAAACTAAAACATAATGACTTTCTCAATATAAGATCATATATTTTTATTTTTCAATGTAGAATTATTAATCATTATCTATTAGTCATTATTCAATTAAATGCTCAGCATCACTTGGACATTATTTTTCTCACTAGTCATTATTAAGTCCTATTTAAAAAATAAAAAAGTTTAAGTCTCACATTGAGAAATGAATTATGTTTTAATTCTATCCAGTGCAAATTTCACAATTTGTTATGACATGTACACACGATATCTATATATCAGTTTAAAATTTAAATAACACACTTTGCCTGTCAAAAAATAAATAAATAAGGGAACTTTTCCTTGTCAAAATAGATAAATAATACACTTTGACTTGTCAAAATAAATGAATAACACACTTTTTTCAAAATAAATAAATAAATAATACACCTTAACTTGTCAAAACAGATTTAAATAAATTCTAAAAAATGAATTTAAATAAATTTAAATAAAATAAATTTAAATAAATAAATAAAAACACTTTGACTTGTCAAAATAAATTTAAATAAATTAACAAATACACTTTGCCTTGTCAAAATAAGGGAACTTTACAAAATTATGGAATGTGCAAGAAAATACTCTCTCCGTCCTTTAACGTTCTTCCCGTTTCTGTTTATGAGGTTTGACCGCGTGGGGGGGGGGCGTTCGGGTCGGGGCGGGGTGGGGGAGTTTACCGGAGAGGTTAGGGGGGTAGGAACTGTCAATTTTACGAATGGGGCACCGGAGCACTCTCGGGTCATCTCATGACATTGGTTCTAATGACAATATTTACGAACGGGACACCGGAGCACCAAAGTAATTTTATGAACAATTCTCAATTTTTAAAAACTATTCCATAAATAATCTTTTTCACAAATATGACAATATTTTAAGTACATTCTCAAAATGTTCCTTCTAATGAGGTTTTTTACCAGATGTATTTTTAAATAGCCATTTATAAAAAATGCCTATTAAATTAGAGTTAAATAAAGAATATTTTGATACTCTTTATTATCTAAAGTATGAATAAGTCCTTAAAATGATTTTTTAAAATTAAGTGGGTGACTACTAATAAACAATAATTACCAACGTGATTCTATATAATATAAATTTATTCCCTAAATGGTCTTTTGCCTAAAATGTGTATTAAATGTCAGTCAATTAAAAGGTATTTTGATATGTTATATCATATAGGCTTGAGTATGTTTTCGAAAAACTCTTTTATAATTAATTACTTTTCTAAATTGATAATTTGTAAATAAACATTTTTTGAAATAAAATCCATGAGCCAACTTGGGGTGGGTGGGTCCCTTCCTCCAATGGCCTCCTACTTAATTTTTAAAAAAATTGTTTTGAAGACATTTTTTATAGACATCAAAACGGTGGGTCCCTTCCTCCAATAAACATTTTTGTTTTGAAGACATTTTTTATAGACATCAAAAAAATTGTTTTGAAGACATTTTTTATAGACAGTTTTTAGCCAACTTGGGGTGGGTGGGTCCCTTCCTCCAATAGCCTCCTACTTAATTTTTTTAAAAAAATTACTCACAAAGAACATCAAAATATCCTCTATTAATTGTCATTTAATAGACATTTTTTATAAAAGATTATTTAGAAAATACATTTCAATTATAAAGCACCACGTTAGTAATTTTTTTATTAAATATTGCTTAGGGAAAAAACTTAAAATATTTTGTCATATTTAGTAAAAAGAATTATTTGTGAAATAGTTTTCAAAAATTGAGAAACGTTTTCAAAAAATCGAAGACTATTTATAAAATATGGAGACTAAATCTGAAAAAGTACATATAATTGGGTAGATCTTGCAAAAAGTGACCCAACTTGTTTTTGACCCGAAATCCGACATGAAAATACTGGGTTTTGAACACAAGTTTTATGACCGAACCCGGAGTTAAATGAACCCAAAATGACCCGCTAAAAATGGGTCAAACCTGGCCGAACTTGAACCCGACTTGACCGACCCGCTAAAGTAAGAATTTTTTAAAATTATACACTTTACTACTCGTTTTAAGTGTATAAATTTATACTTTCAGACAAAGTTTAATGATATTTCATAATCATCTTACTTTTTTCCAAAACTTAAGCATATTTAAATTTCTTATATTGATTTATATATATCTAAAAATTAATTCAGAATTTGAAATAAAATAATTTTATAAATTGAATACATATTTTAAATTTATTTAATAGGATATCCAAGTGCTAATTAATGTAAAGTTAAAAATTTTAAAAATCAAAATCAAAATCCGTTGGATCGACCCGAATCTAATGACATTGAGTCATAAACGTACACTTCTCAACCCGAAACTGAATTGACCCGAAAGCGAAATAACTCGAAATTGAAGTGACATAACTCGAACCCGACCCGACCGACCAGCTCTATAATTGGGTATCCTCTCAATTTCCAGCTCTAAGTTTGTAGAAGTCGTAGTCATCGATCTGAGAAGATTTGGAGACCCGGCTCCAGCCTCCACCAGGATCAATTTCATCTCCTCTCCAATTCGCTTACGGTAAAAAAAAAATCTTCAGCTGCAAAACCTCCGCTATTAATTCGTTTTTTATTACTCCCTATTTGATTAAGATATGAGAACTATGAACTGAAGAAATCAAATTGCATAAAGCTTTGTAAATGGCGTCAAATTGCAAATTAGATGCTTGATAAATAATTACTGGTACATCAGATAGTTGGGAAATTCTCCATAGTTGTGCTAGGGTTTTGTAAAGGATTCTTAATAACTCTATCAATTGAGTTGCAGATAGTTTTTTAATGAATTCTTGATAACATACTCTATCAATTTCATCTTAAAATTATTTTGCTGGAGGAAGAAGATAAGATTTTTCAACTATTTTTCCTCTCTTTTGTACCCAACAAAAATATATATTACTATCAATTACGTCTGTGTTCGACATAAGCTTTAGCCTTATAATTTCAACATTTTGAATATACTCCCTCTGTCCACAAATAAACTTCTCATCACGCGTTACGATGTTTGACTGAAATTATTTTCAAATCATTTTATATGAAAAATGGTGTAAAATTTTAAATCAAAAATTACATATTAAAAAACTATATCAAAAGATCTACAAAACTAGAGGTGACATGACTATATTATTTTATCAAATGGATGATGAAAATAGGCCAAAAAAGTGAATAAAGTTTGACACTGTGAATAATGAACGAAAAGTTTATTTGTGGACGGAGGGAGTATTACCTAATGATAGTTTTAAACAAATACCCTGTAAACAGGGAGAAAGCAGCTAGATTTGGAACGCATACTCTTTAGTACTCATTCTCTTGTTCTTCGGTTCCTTCTCTTCATCATCAGCTTATGGTTTACATATCCAACACCAAAAAAGATTTGGACTAACCATCTTGGCATTCCATGTCTAATAATGCAGCACCCCATTCCAATTCTAACTACGAATCCACATCCATACCCCAATGCAGCGCTTCGCCACCTAAATCCATCTATAAATTCAGAATCATAGTCTTCTTCTTCTTTTTCTTCTTCTTCTGGTTGCATCCGTTGCCCATTCTTCACTGGGTTGCATGTTTTCGTCAATGGAGCTCCACACAGTCCAGTATTTCCCATATAGGAATCGTTGTCGAATGTTGAGAACTGAGTAGATTGTGGTGTTGCCCCAAAAGATTGTTCACTGAAAGGCTTAATTTCTCAAGAAATGTCAACCTTGTCAATTCACTCGGAATTTGTCCGTCCAGTTTGTTTGCTGACAAGTCCAGCGATTCAAGTTCACTCATATTTCCAAGAGAAGAAGGTATATTTCTGGTGAGGGTGTTGTGAGACAAGTTCAAGTATCTTAGAGAATTAAGATTTCCTATGAAATGTGGAATACTCCCATAAAACCTATTGGATGATAAGTCAATTGTTGTAAAGGTATCCAGCAGAGAGTAACCAGCAGTCTCTGCAGTGACTGATCCAAACCTTTCAAAATGAACCTCAACTCTGTTAATTTTTTAAACCAATCTGTTCCATCAACTGTCTTATTTTCCTCTGCGTCTATCATGCCTTGAAAGTTGTTGAAAAACGCTTCGGGTAAAGAACCGGAAAATGGATTTCTTGATATATCTAAGACTTGCAACTTGGGGAATGGATGCTCAGTTTTTGGAGCCACTAACATCATCGTACCATTGAAGTTATTGAACCTCAAGACGACAACACGAAGTTGAGGGAGTGTTTCCATCCAGAAGGGAAACATGCCTCGTATTTCATTATCACCTATGTCGATATCTTGCAGGCTTTGGTAGTTGAGTAGGATTGAGACATTGTTCCTTCCAATTTATTACCATTCAGATTAATGGGCTGAATTTTACATCCCTTGGGAAATAATGTTGATGGAATGAGACCACTGATTTGATTTGCACCCATATGGAAGATGGATAAAGATGTGCTCAAGTTTCTCCTTCCAAAACTATTATTTGATAAGTGGAGAACAAGAAGGTATCTCAAGTTGCAAATGGACGATGGAATCTCTCCGGTTAACTTGTTGACAGGGATTACTAAATAAACCAGTGCTGTTAGATTCCCAATGGTAGATGGTATTGGACCTGAATGTTGGTTTTGAGCAGCAGGTATAATTGGTTTTTTTTAAATTATGCACAAAGTATGTTGATGACGGAGTATATAGATATTTGAAAGGGGAACAAATTGGGGGTAATCTTTTGCTAAATTTTGATTTTGCATATGATACACATACACAATATACATATGGAATAGATTTTTTCTTATTCCTGGTTTCTTCCACACCGACTTGACTCGACTTGATAACCATGATTTGAAAAATGCTTTTGAGCTTCTACTTCATTGAAACACAATTCTAAGTATTTGCATATCAGTGATTTTCACCAATGCTCGGAGTAAGTGCTTTCTGCTTTTGATTTAGCACTTTTGCTTTTTCAAGAATTCACCGCACTCAGATACATTCTTTTAATTAGGTTTTCATCTCCTGCTCAATGGTTACTTTCTTTCATACCTCAGTGGTTACTGGCTTACTGCATCAGTGGTCAGTGTCATACTCCGTAAAAACTAAACTGTGATTTTATTTTGCTTTTTATTTTTTTGGTAAATGGTGACAATTATAGTATGGTTGTGTTATGGTGCAATTGTATCAATAAAAACAAGTAGATGTGATGCTATACCATACTTCATATCAGAAATTTATAAGTGAGAAAAATTATAATTGGTGATTAACGCTGTTATTAGAGCTAGCTTGCTGTTTTATGGAATATGTATGCAGTATCTGAATTTTCACTCGTATTATTAGTGTATTGTTGTAATATTTCTTGTTGTCAGGAAATCTGAAAATGGATTCTGGTTAGATTATTGACATTGACCCTCCCAAATCCCCTAAGCCCCCATACAGAGAGCATTGGAGAGTTTAATTTGAATCATCCTGTGAAGGGCTTTTCTGTTTCCAACTCAAAATGGCATTTAGAGGGAGGGGACGAGGGCGCGGAGGATATGGTGGTGGCTTTAAGAGAGCAAAGGAAGAACCATTTGAGCTATTTCCCGCAATCGATGATGAGACCTTGGGCAAGGCGACGATGGTTTTTCCACATCAGGAATATGCAGCAAGTGCATATTCGAAGATAATGAGGCATTGCAGATCCTCTCCTTACTATATCCGCGACGAAACTGGCGGTGGTCTGAATGAGACAAAAAGTACGGACATAGAACAGTTTTCGGACATGAATTCCAATAGATCCCGAGCGAAATCTGAACTCTCGGATTTCATCACGATTTCTGCTGCATTGTACCCTGCTGAAACGGCCAAACGCAAGACGATGATGATACGCCGTGCGAAAAAGAGAGTTCGGTGGAGTCAAGATGCAGATTTGCAAGACCTAGACTTTGAGAGGTTCGAGCAAGACTCCGATGGCGAAGAGGGAAAGAAAAATGATAGCGAAGATGACGACGATGACGAAGAAGATGGCGAAGAGAATGTTGAAGAAGACGAGGACTCCTTCGACGAGGATGATGACTACATGAAGAATGAGGATTTTGATGATGATGAGGACGACTTCAACATGGACGATGATCCCAATGATGATGAAGGCACCTATGATTGATTTGATTCATTTGTGATATTTTTGTCTGTTTATGTGCGATTAACACTAGCGTTTTGAATTATATTTATAACGGTATAAAGTAACTCTGAAAGTGTTAAAACTAAACAGTATTATTAGATAGTTTTTTTAGAATGCTAAAAGTTTGTCATAAGGGCATTCTATGATTTTCTCTTCCTATTAATTTGATCGAAATTATTTTTAACTCAATTTCTTTGAAATATGGTGTCGAATTAAAAAATAAAATTTATATATTCAAAAATCATAGAAGCATCTACAAAAGAAGATGTGATAATACCAAGGAATGTATAATTGAATCAAATGGATAGTAAAAATGAATAAGAAATGTTATTAAAGTTTGATCATATAAATAATGAACACACTTGTACAACTTAAAATGAAAATTATCGTGATAAATTTATGGTTTCTTAATCGTCACTCGTACCTTTTGCCCCTTCGGTAGAGAGATTTGGCTTCTCATTGCAAATGACATTGAAACTACAATTGAAATGTACATGGGATGTAATATACTAATATTGAATTACACATGTAGGTCACATAAACAATGAAATACTTAGTTTTAAGGGCGTGTTTAGGGAGCCTAGTCCATATCTTTTGATATTCAATTTTTTGTTTGATGTCATATAAAAATAATTCAAATTTAATATCTTCAAATATAACAAATCTTTGTGAAGAACATTTTGGGAATAATTCGAGTTTAATTTCAATTAAAAATTACAAGTATTGGCTCCCTGTTATATCCAACAACAATAAAAAAAACGTTGCTCATAACTTAACAATTGAAATGTACATGGGGTGTAATGTTGAATGACACATGTAGGTCACATAAACAACGGAATACTTAGTATTAAGGGCGTGTTTGGGGAGCGCAGTCCATATCTTTTAATATTCGATTTTTTTGTTTGATGCCATATAAAAATAATTAAAATTTAATATCTTCAAATATAACAAATCATCAGCTTCATCTGAAATTATTGGTTTCGAAAACAACATAAGAAAGATCAGGCCGACCTTCCAAGTCAGAGGTAAATCATCATCCATGAATGAATACTAGCTGATGGAATGGCTAGCTAAGCTAGCTAAGTTATATATTGAACTATAGATAGTCTAAAGAAGCTAACCTGTAATCTTGTATCAAGTCACAACCCCTTTACAATGTAGCGTTTTCAAAGTAAATCTATACCACTACAATAATATTCACAATGTTAACGATATTCCCAAACAAGGTGGATCATAACCATTCTTAGCATCTTTTAACACCTTCTTTGGCGCGTAGTGCATAGATGAGAGGATGTTGAAATCTTCCCGCAATCTTTCGTTGAACTCGGTCGCTACCGTCCAACCACCTTTGAAATTATTCGTGCCGACACTTTCACATCATAACAACCTACCCGGTAGGATCACCGGTCATGCGTTCTGAAGAGACAAAAGACCGCCAGCATTAAGTCATGTACTCTGACCGATAAGTTTACCCATCGTACCGGTCAGCTTCTCGAATCCGACCGGTTGTCCATATTTTTGTTTAAATCTTCAATTCCGATATACTTGCGTCTGATTGGTCAACTGTTGTGGACCCGGATTCGGATCGGGTCCTAGATGGAATACACCCATCAGGAACAAGTTAAAGCGAGAAATGTTTGGTTCACAAACAAAATGTTCTCAAATATCACAAACTTACTATTTGTGAACTTTAATAAAGAAAAAAAAGAATAAACTAAAATAATTTTAATATGAAAATTTAACTATAAATGATGAGTTTGTGAACTTTGTGAATATTATCTTTGTCCCCATTTTTATTACAATTTTATTTGCTCTTTCTCGATGACTTTTGTTTATTTGATTGTGTGTGTTTCGTTGATTATTTGATAAAATAAAATATTTTTGTCACATCTTATTTTATAGAATTTTAGACGTAATTTTTTAATATGTAATTTTTTTCTTATTGATGTATCAATGGTAAATAAAATAAAACAACTTGGTAGATGTAACATTGTTCCACTAAATCATCAAAAGAATACAAATGACATCCGAGTCATCAAACCATGATTGGTGTTTTTGCTTGTCCTAACTAGCTATAGGCTCTTCCTACAAAGCCCTGATAATTTAATTACTGCCTCTCTTCTTCTTTTTTCATAAATTAATTACTCAACAATAATACTCCTAAATTTAATTACAAATAAAGTCAATATCTCACATATTCCAAAATCATTTTAATTACAAATTGATATACTCCGTATCAGTTAAAAATAAAAGTTAAATATTAAAAAACAATGTCAAAACTTATACTCCCTTCGTCCCTAAATAAACTTCCATTTTTGACTTTTTGAGGATTTAAGGGAGGAATATTTTTGTGTTGACTTTCCAAAAATACCCTTGATGTGATGTGTGTAAGATGTGATAGCAAGGGTATGAAAAAGTAAGAGGTAAAAGAGGTTTTTTAAGGAAAAAGAGAAGTTTATTTGGGAACAAAGAAAAAACGAAAGGGGAAGAAGTTTATTTAGGGACGGAGGGAGTATAAAACAAGTGATAAGAATATTATATTTTAAAAAAATAATTAATGAAAACATACAAATAAATATGTAGTAAAAGTTATCGAAATGAAAGAGAAAAAATTATAATCAAAATTGTGATAGAGGATGCATATTAATAATTGGACCTCCACTTTTAAAACACAACAAATAAAGTGGGGAAAAAATGTCTATAAAGAAACACCCTCTTGAATGGTCATCTAATAATCACCCAATAAAAAACAATGGACCTTTTTTTAAATGACAAATTTCGTCTTATATTTATGTTTAATTTAATATCTCCATCCATTACAATTAATCATTATTAATCCATATATGTGTAATGCAACGACTGGTTGTGGGAGACTTTAGGGCATTTGCCGTCATCATTCCACCGTTTTCCGCCGCGGCACGCGCCCCACTTCCGGCACAGACCCGGTCTTCATTTCTGACGCAAAAACGCGGCGACCGTCGTCCATTGTGATTGTCCGCCGCGCCGGCTCATCTTTCTTGCCGGCCGGCTCATCTTTTTTGTGTGTGTGCGTGTTTAATATCTCCATTATTAATGCTCTGTTAACATTAATTTAATTTGTACTCCTAGAAAGGTAAACATCATTACTTCCAGAATATAATGGACATTATTATAATGTATATATATAATTAAATATTCAATTTTATACAAAGTCGTATGCATGTTTTAAATTAAATATATGTAAAAAGTAAATGCATGTATAAATAAATTAGTACTCGGCATAACATAAAAACGCATGTTATGCTTGAGAAAGAAATATTTGCACTAAATAGCACTAAAATTTAAGTCATTTCTCTAAATAGCACTTAAATAGTTTTATTCCTTAAATAGCACTTAATAATGTCCAGTGATGACGAATATTTACTTGAATAATGACTAATGCATAATGACTAAAAGTGCTACATTGGGAAGAAAAACATATGTGGTGCTATTCAGGGAAAGTCATTATCTTTTAGTGCTATTTAAGTAAATTCCTCAAATTATATACGTAATTTCTTTAAATTGGTTTACGTGCATTTAAAATAAAATTTTAGAAAAATTACACGTCCAATAATATACTACTACTCCTAGTTAGTAATTAAAATGTCAAATAATATAATGTGATTAACCCCATGAGTACGTGTTAAAAAAAATGAAACTTTCTAAACATATACCCGTATTTATTCCATCTGTCCCACAAAACCTTTCTCCTTTCTTTTTCATTCGTACTAAAAAAATTCTCATTTCTATTAAAAAATCACTTTTACCTCTATTAATTCTTAACTTACCTATCACATCACATTTTTTTTACTATTAATCTACCTATCATATCCGAACGCAATTTTGAAAAGTCAACACCAAAATATACTAAATCTCTTAAAATTCAAAATAAGAAATATTTTGTGGCACGAAAAGAGTATATTATTATATACTATGGTACAAAATATATCTACCGAAAGCATGGACAAAATGTAGCACATATTCACCCCTCACCTGATGACCTTATCTCCCCAACGTTATGTCATCCGATCCCCATATAAATATATGCATATACATTATTATTATTATTCCATAGCATATATTTGCATTATCCCATTACATATCACACTACCTAACTTAATTTCTACTAGTATATTTTCTTTCTTTTTTTTCGAGAAAAATCGACACTGATTTATAAATAATCTATCTCCAATTTTTTAGTTTTTTCCAGAACCTATCTAGTTCATTTTATTAAAAATTTGCACTAAATAAGACTAAAACACAAGTAATTTCTTAATGTAGAATTTAAACTTTTTTATTTTATAAATAGTACTTAATAATGTCTAGTGGGGGGAATAATGTCCAGTGATAGTAGATATTTACTTGAATTGAATAATGACAAATGGATAATGACCAATGATCCTACATTGAGAAATAAAAAGATATGACCCTATATTGAGAAAATTATTATATTTTAGTCCTTTTAGGTAAATTCCCCTTTTGTACTTGTAAGAATGAACATGTAACAAAAATTTTATTTTATGCAACTTAAAGGTTTAGTTTCCATAAACTAGCTACTACTATATACAGAGTATATTCGTTCCCGTCCCCAGAACATAGCTACAATCACAAACTTCAGCTTTAAATTCAGTTGATTATATTTTCTTAACACGATATCAAAGAACTATTGATATATAGAGGTCACGGGTTCAAATCTCACAAATACTTAATTTTGAAAAACTATGATTCACATACAAGGTTCTAGCAAAAATAGATACTCCCTATGTTCTCCAAAATACTTATCTCTTCCACCACAACACTTTCAGTTTCTATTAAAAACTACTTTTATCCCTACTTTCTTTTACCCTTCTTATCACATCATATTTTTTTCTCTAATAATTTATCCATCACATCAATGACAAAATTAGAAGTCACTTACAATTTAACACTTTCTTATTTTGACACTTGGTCAAAATGAGAAGGGTTTTTAAGAAGGAAAGGAGTATTTTCTTAGCTTGCATATAAGTGTATGTGCGTGTTAATGTATAAAATCTTTCATGTTAAATTAGCTGCGGGAGAATAATTCATCAAAATATAATGTACCTATAGGCTATAACTCGAAAGGGCATATTTATGATTTAGGATAAATACAGGGGCTGCTACAGGAATATTACAGAATGTGCCTGCTTTTTGAGCATCTAATGCAACGAAATTATTCAAAAATTCCTTTCTCAACCCATAAATAGTGTAACTTGCATGTCCAATTGTCCATATATAAACCCCTCCATTCCAAACACTTGAAGACTAACAAAGTGGCCTCTAATTACTTAATTATTGGCTTCTTTGTTCCCATGCAACTATTAGTAGTAATTATATTAATTAAACTGAGTAAAATTAAAGTTTTGAAATAATAAAAAAAATGGTGAAATTCTCTAAGCAGTTTGAAGCCCAACTTGTTCCAGAATGGAGGGAAGCTTTTGTTGATTACTACCAACTCAAGAAGGACCTCAAGAAGCTCCATCTTCTCCTCCATACCCATGACAGCGAAGAAGAACGACGACGAGCCTTTCCGAACCCGTTTTGTTCGTTGAAGGAACTCTTCGTGTTCGGGTCTCGTTGTCCGGAACGCGGAGCAATTCAGGTATGAAAAATCATTCTCTCATTCCCACACGAAATACATATATAATTTTTCATGCTATTTTAAGCACTAACATAAATTTTTGGTTGAATTAGTTCATTGACATGTATTCCGTAATTATAACATTGTTAATGTTTTTGGTTAAATCGGTCTATTGAATACTCCTTATTAATATGACCATCTTGGTTTTCCTACACTGCCATGCCTTCATTTTCCTGAAAGACATATCCTACCTTTGTCTTGATTTTTCTTTTGTTTCGGGTTTTTTTGTCAAACAGTGACACTTTTAAAAAAAGTAAAATTTGCATTTAATAGTATTAAAAGAAACTCCCTCCGTCCTATGAAACCTTTCTCCTTTCTTTTTTTATCCGTCCCACAAAACACTTCTCATTTCTATTAAAAAGTCACTTTTACCCCTTACTTTTTCATACCCTAACTATCACATCATACCTTTTTACTAATAATCTATCCATCAAATCATATTTTTACCTATCACATCAAAGGACATTTTTTGGAAATTCAATACCAAAATACACTTCCCTTAAATCCCTCATAAAAAGCAAAAGTCCATGTTTCATGGGACGGAGGGAGTATATTCTTTTCCAATGTAGTACTTAAAGTTTTTTTATACCTGAGTTGGACATTTAGCGGCGGAAACAATGTCCTTTAAAAAATAATGATTTTGATTATTGTTTAACAAAAATAATTTATATATACTCTCTCCGTCCCACAAAACATTACCCATTTTGATGTATTTTTGGTCAAATAGTTACACGCTTTGACTTTAAATAAAATATAATCTAAATTACGAAATGTTATAAAAATTTGATATATCATAACTAGATCCTAAGATGAATCCAATTATATGAAACTTGTATTATAATTCAATATACTTTTCAAAATTTGTAGTCAAAACGTGTAACTATTTGACCAAATACTGTTCAAAATGAGACGAAGGAATCAGTTAGGACCGACCCCAATTTTTTCCGTCTCCTCGATGACCCTTGAATCTTCGGGACCGGCCCTGCATAATTTGCATGAACTTGCTTCATTGTGTACTAGACACAACTAATTTAATAACAGAAGAGGTTATTAAATTTTCCACATATGCTTATTATTATTTATTTATATTCAAAAGGTGCACCAGAAGGCCTCGTCGAGTGGGAGCAAAGGGGATTTGTACGAGACGGAATTGGGGGAGCAACTGGCGGAGAACGAAGGGGCGAAGGAGTTCTTCCGGCGGCTGGATGAGCAGGTGAGCAAGGTCAACCAGTTTTACAGAGCCAAGGAGAAGGAGTTCGCCGACAGGGGAGACTCGCTTAAGAAGCAATTGGAGATCCTGCTTCAGCTCAAGGCCGCCCTCCGCCACCGCCCCCGCCGGGACAAGGGGATCGGCGATTCCTCCCGGGAGGAGGATCACTCCATTTCCGTCCGCGCCTTCTCTTGCGGTACAGTACTACTCTTTCTGTTCCTTCTTACTACTATGTTCCAACTTCATGAGAATTTATATTTATTTGTGTTTTTTATGGCCTATATAATAAAATAAAATATTCTTGTCACCACTTGTTTTGTTGAACTTTTGATGTAGCTTTTAAATATGTATGTTTTATTTTTTATTTCTATACCAATATTTAAATAAAATAGATTGAAAAAACTTGAGATTTTTCTTCGTTTTGCGCAACGGGAAGAAAGTTTTAGGACGGAGGGAGTATGTTTTTTGAGTTCTCAGAAAGTATAAAGCTATTTGTACCCCAAACTTTTGTACTTCATTTCATGCACCGTAGGTTCGCACCGATATTTTATCATGTGTACAAATATCGCACCGTAGGGATGAAGCCATGATTCTCACGCAGATCGAGTTCCCGTTTAGGGTGTATCGTTATGATGGCTAAGGTGAGGATGAGACTCACGAGAATAGAGAGGCAGAGAGGAGGTGTATGATTGGTGTGTTAATCTCTGCTTAATGACCTCTATATATATACACCCAAGGGGAAACCCTAATTAGGTCATAAGGGTAATTACGTCCATCGAATAATTACCAATTAAGTACGTAGGGTATTTATTAGGTCAATGATCAATTAATTACATAAATGATAACTCAGACCACATAATAAAATCGTGTCCAACATTGGTGTAAAACTAATTTTCGTTAACGCACTAACATTTTGTGTCCGTGTAAATTTTTGTTAACGCACCAACACTTGTGTCGGTGTAAACTATCAAAATGTTTGTCAGTTTGTGTATAACTACGGCGTACAAATGAGTTACAATTTTTGGCGTAATTGTAGCATGACCCTCTAATAACATGTTATACTACCTATATAAAGTTCTTTATTGGTGGTTACTGCTTGATGATTTAATTTTTACTATTCTATAAAAGTATTTTTTTATATACTTTTCTTTTTCTTTATTTTATTTACTCTTCTTTTTTCTTTTATATTAATTTTGATTAAAATAAAAGAAAGGGTATGAAATTAATAGACGAAAAATAAGAGATGAGCTTTAGTGAAAAATGACAATATTTCTTTTATATCACAATTTTTTTGGAAGTGTCCGATGAATAGTGAAACTTAGGACTCTCATTTGATATCTCTAGATTAAAAAATTATAATGCATGTGAGTAAACTTAACAAAAGTACAAGTGAACATAGTTTAATTTCTTAAATAAGATTGTGATAATAGTGTGATAACACACTAGAAGTGTGAATAGAATAATAAAAATAAATAAAAAAAGTGATCAGTCAACTACAATATAACGGTGGCCAACATTGGTGACCGGTTGCGGTGGGTCGATAGCCCACAACGACGGGTAGTAGATGACAGTGTGGTAAGTGGCAACACTTGAAAATGTGGACTCCAATTTAAATACATACAAACACTCATATACTCTTATTTAGGAAGTTTTCGCTCGAGATATCATAACCTTTCCAAATATGAGTGTTTTATTTATTCCAAATTTGGAAGAAACAATCTAGAGTTTTGATATCTTTTTAACCACTCGCCACCCAAAAGCCACCCACGACCATAAGCTACTTGTCGTCAACCCACATATTTTAAATCCTTCTAAGCACTTTCATTAAATTTTAGAAGGGAAAAAGATTAAAATAAAAGTATAATAGGCAAGAAATACCAAAATAAAAATTCTATTTTTTAAATTTCAACATATCATTTCATTTGTGAGAGATTTCATATTTGGTTTCACATAAATCCCCTAACACTCACCTAAATCCACCATAGATACCATAGATTGCAGGATTTTGATCCGTTGCCTAGGTCAGGTAAACAGAATTTTGAAACCCTAACAACTGACAAATTCTGCTTGATAAACAGATGAGGAATCCAGTAGCAGGAGCAGAAGAAGAAGAGAGGAAGAACAGGTGCAAGGAGGAGGTGGTGGTGGCACAGACGAATCCAGCAGACCTCCAGATGAAGAACTGGGAATGTCAATGACAGTGGTGAAAACAATGGAAGAAACCAAGCTGAGATCATTATCTTCTTCTTCTTCTTTCTCTTCGCTGCCAGAAAATGTCATCGGGACTAATAATAACTGTCATCAAGGCCGAAAGAGCTTAAGAATCCACATTCCCATGACTAATCCGAGCCGCGCCTTTTCTGCAATCACATATCTGATGCAAGAAGATGATCATCATCATCATCGGGGTAACAAGAAAGGGTTTCACATTAATAAGGCCAAGCTTCGTCAGGCCGAGAAGATGATACGCGGCGCATTCATTGAGCTCTACAAAGGACTGGGATATCTCAAGACTTATAGGTAATCATTCAATCCTATATTTGTACTTCATTGTATATTGTTGAATTGTGAGTTTTCATACCTCAACATCCCTTAAGTGCAATTTGGGTTTTTTTTGCCTCTAGTTATTCCTTGCTCGAATAGATATGAACTTCTCTTTCGAGCTTCTTAAGCCTTGGCTCTGATGCGATGTTGAATTGTGAGATATAATCTCAAAACCAATTGACAAGTATAAAAACCAATTGACAAGTATTACTATTTTTAACCTGAGTCTTAAAAGATTGATTTTTTTCATCTTTTTTTTTCTCTTTAATTTTTAATTACTGAAATTTACAGCTTCTTTACAGGAACCTGAACATGCTTGCTTTTGTAAAGATTTTGAAGAAATTTGACAAAGTAAGTGGGGTGGGAAAGGGTTTAGCTTTTCAAGTGTAAAGCATTTGTTATGTTGTATCAATAGGGCTTTAACTTTATCATCACTTTTTCTTCTTGCTTTTAGTCACTGCTTCTTCTTTTTTTCCACACTGCATGCAGGTTACTAACAAACAAGTCCTCCCCATTTATATTAGAGTGGTTGAAAGCACCTACTTCAACAGCTCAGACAAGGTTTCAAAAAAAAATATTTTATTTTCTAAATCATCAAAATGTATATGATTGAAGAGGGGCGTAGGCGAAGATTTTTAGACCGTACATTTGATCAACCAACAACAACAACAATAACCCAATATAACATATCCCAACTTCGTTGGAGTCTGAGGTCAAGATATATGTAGCCTTACCCTTGTAAATTACAGAGAAATTGTTTTGTCAAACCCATGATGTGTTGCGGCATTTACGACCCAAAACTTCATTAAAAGTAAGAAGCAAAAGAAACTTTATGTGTCATTTTGATTTAGTCCATTATTTACACAAAGTTAAAACATTGCCAAATACGACTATTTTAGCTCAATTGGCAATGTCATATGACATTTGATCAAAGAAAGATATGATTTTTTCACATGCATTCTCCATTTCTCTTTGCAGATTCTAAGGTTGGCTGATGAGGTTGAGGAGATCTTCATTAAACAGTTTGCTGACAATGATAGAAGAAAGGCCATGAAATACCTTAAGCCTACTCTCAAAAAAGACTCTCATGCTGTTACCTTCTTTATTGGTGAGCCAAAAAAAATTCCAAAAAAAAAATCTTTATTGGTGAGCCAATAAAAAAATTCCAAAAAAACAGATGTTTTTTAATAGCTACTCTGTATTTGTCTTCTTGAGAGTCAGTTCACTTAATTGCAATAACAATGTTTTGATTTTTTTCTCTAAAGGGAATAAAGGGCCCCTAGATAGTAGGACATTAATGGAAGTAGATCTTGAATCAGCCACTAGAATGAAAATCTGATGAAAAAGGGGAAGACCTATATATAGGGTCGGTCCAGTTCAATGTAGGTAGTATAGATTTTAAGGAAAAGAGAATGGTCCTGGCCAGGGTGAGGCCACTAATACTCACAATCATGCAAGCTGTAAAAAAACTAGTAAGACATTATCTTAATAAAGTTGACAAAAGGCAGCCATTTTTAGGCTTTTTCATTTGATGTGTACCACTATATATAAAAGTGGAGTAAAGTTTTGTCATGTAGCTGACATCATTGGACATAGCTAACTATTCTTGAGTAAGTTGAGTTGATTGCAGAGTAACATCTGAGCTCATTTTTTCACTTTATACATATACCTATTTATGTAATGTGAGAAAATACAAACAGAAGTGCATGTAAATGTGTTATTATCTAATTCTTGCTGTTACCCTATGTTTGGATGGAAGGATTTTGGAGAGAAAGGGAGAGAGTGGAAAACACAACTCCCTATGTTTTTTCACTTGTTTGGGTGTAATGGAAAAGGAAAAGAAAAAGAAAGAGAAAATGAAGTAAAAACTTTTCTCTCATCCTTATGCAAGAAAATTGACATGGTGGAGAGAAAATGAATAAAATTGCAACTTTTTCCTTACTCCTAATCTTTCACCCTCCTTTCTTTAAAATAGTAGGGACAAAAATGTCTTTTTATTTTATCACATTTTTTTCTTTCTCACTTTTTCTCTTCATTTTCTACTTATTCAAACAATCATTATTTTCTTCCCACTTTCTTTTCATTTTCTTTTCTCTCCATTTTCTTTCTCCTCATTTTCTTTCCTTCCATTTTCTTTCCCATCCAAGCATTCATACAAAAGATCAGAAATACACATGCACTTGATCAAGTTGCCAACAGAAATATACTCCGTAATATACTATACTCTACATTCTATACCCATCATCAGGTGTGACCCTCGATCCGCTGGCCTATTCAACTGCATTGGGCCCCTAAAAATTTAGAGATCCAATTTTGAAAAAAAAAAATAAATCATCATGAATTACTATGTATATTCAACTACAACTTACAACCCAAGCTTTAAACTTTTCTTGGTTTTTCAATAATAGAATCTTAAATTATCAAATGTAAATGAACTATGGGGGCATTATCTTTAGTTAAATGCTTGATCCCAAAACAGTGTCCACCATTGTCGCTCAATTCTTCATATACACATGCATGCTTTTATCAATTTGATCATACCATTGATCTTTCTTGCTTGTTCTATCATCGCACCCTTATGGTGGGAACTTTGTTCATCAGTTAAAGGATGCTTCTAATAGATCTTTTTCCACTTGTGCATGTCTCCTTAGGCTTGTTCACCGGATGTTTCATAGCACTATTAGTCGGATATCTAATCATGGCTCATATTACTGGGATGTACAGACAACCTGAATCAAACACACTCTACATGGAAACAGTGTATCCTGTTCTAAGGCAAGCTAATTACTCCCCCTATCAATATCTTCTTATCGTTTTTACTTTACATGTTTTTTAATGTAATACTCGTATTAAATATGCTAGACTTTCCATTTTTGCCCTTGGTACTGACATAGCGGAGAAATCTGATGTGAACTGGCTTTGTGGATGCAGCATGTTCAGCCTGCTGTTCTTGCACTTGTTCATGTATGGGTGCAACATTGTAATGTGGAGAAAGAGCAGGATAAACTACTCCTTCATACTTGAGTTATCCCCTAAACAAGAACTCAAGTATAGAGATGTGTTCTTGATCTGCACAACTTCAATGACCGTGGTGGTTGGTGTCCTTTTTCTTCACCTTTCCCTTGTGTCCAAAGGTTATTCATTTACACTAGTTCACTCCATCCCCGGCCTTCTTCTACTGGTATGTAATCACTCGGCATATCTTTGAGAATCTATAGTTGTACTAGTTAATGAACAAAGTATATTTAATGTTTTTTTATGTGTAATGAAGGGGTTTCTATTGCTGCTCTTATGTCCTTTCAACATCATCTACAAACCAAGCCGGTACCGATTCCTGCGTGTGATGAGGAACATCATTTTGTCACCTTTGTATAAGGTTTTCATGCTGGATTTCTTCATGGCTGATCAGCTTTGCAGCCAGGTAATGAGAACTCATTTCATAACTTCATTCAACTAACTAAGATAGGAACAAAGATTCTCACTCGAAACTTTATTTTTATTTCTGTCAAACAGATTCCAATGCTGAGAGAGCTTGAGTATGTGGCATGCTACTATGTAACAGGAAGCTACAAAAATCAAGATTATGGATATTGCATGAAAACCAAGTATTATAGAGACTTGGCTTATGCAGTTTCATTTCTTCCTTACTATTGGCGGGCCATGCAGGTTTGGTTTCGTACATTCTCTCCTTCACTAATTTCTTCCTAGTACTCAGAGTACAATGAGACATACATTATATAATTATTGTCAGAGAACCAATTAACTCAATCAAAAGCTCAAGTTTGTAGTTATAGCCTTATAGGTCCAGAAAAGATTTTATACTTAATAAAGTGCATGTGTGCAGTGTGCCAGACGGTGGCTGGACGAAGGGGACAGAAGCCACATTGTAAACCTTGGGAAGTACCTGTCAGCAATGTTGGCGGCAGGGGCAAAAGTGGCATATGAAAAGGAGACAGGCCTGGGGTGGCTTTGCCTTGTTGTTGCCATTTCAAGTGGTGCAACAGTTTACCAACTGTATTGGGACTTTGTGAAGGATTGGGGTTTGTTCCAACCCCATTCTCGCAACCCTTGGTTAAGGAATGAACTTATGCTCCACCAAAAGTTCATTTACTACTTCTCCATGGTACATACATACATACATATATAAATGTGTGTGTGTGTGTATATATATATATATGTACTGATGAGTATATCAAAGGGTACACTTGTAATCGTTGATAGGATATTATTTGCAGGGGTTAAATATAATTCTTAGGTTGGCATGGATGCAAACAGTGTTACATTACAATTTTGGGAGAGTAGATTACAGGGTAACTGGCCTATTTTTAGCTGCCTTGGAAGTCATCAGGAGAGGCCAATGGAATTTCTATAGGTACGTACGTACCCTACGAACAACGAGCCTTTATTAAGTACGGTTTTGTAATTGCGTTTTGTCGGAAATTAGATGGATTTAGCTCAAATCTCATTCTAAACTTGTTAAGTTCTCAAAGAGGCCATTAACAACTTAAATTCTAGTATTTTCAATTGTAGCATATCTCAATTTTTTGCGTTTATGATTTGAATAGGTTGGAAAATGAGCATCTCAACAATGCTGGCAAATTCAGAGCGGTTAAAACGGTTCCACTCCCTTTCCATGAAATCGACCAAGGAGAATGATTATATTATTTTCCTTGTTCGGTACAACGCCAAATTTCACAATGGATCTGTGTTTAGAGCAATGTTAGGACTTTGGGGAATTTTGTTTTTTTCTAATCTTCCCTTTTTTTGTTTTGGGGGTGGGGTGGAAGAACTTGTAGGCTACAAATGTTAACAACTCTTCCTAATTTTGTTTGTTTGAGATTATAGTGAATAATAATGTAATGGTGCTGCTAAATTCACATCTTTAGTTGTTTTTTTTGTGCACATCTCCTTTAGTTAATTTCGCTCCATACTTAAATTGCCCTGGTTCTATAGCCACTGTTTTTCAGTGGCTTTAGAAGTCACTGAACAAATTGGGGCACCTACGGTGCTCCATTCGCAAACTTGATAGTTTCTACCCCTTTAACCCCCTAACAAACCCTCCACCTAGTCTCGATCCCAACCCACCCCTCCAACCACGTCAATTTGACTCAAAAATCAACTAAACTTGCACTCCACAATTGACGTGGTTGGAAGGGTGGGTTGGGATCGGGGATGAGTTGGGGGTTGCCGGGGGTTAGGGGATAGGAACTATCAATCCTGCGAACGGAGCACCGTAGCTGCTCTAATTTGTTTAGTGGCTTCCGAAGCCACTGAAAATCAGTGGCTATTGAATCCCGTACTTAAATTCCTCAATTCATAGCCCAAACATTGTTGCAAACTCAACGGCTATTGACTTACTCCCAAACAATGCATCACTTGTTACAAATTTTACAATAATTAATCCAATTGCTTAGCTTCATCTTAAAGAAAATTTAAAGAAAGAAAGAAAAATATAAGAACTTAGGTTAATGTCTAGGCTATAATGGGCAATAAAATGGTCACGGCCAGACCAACATTTGTCCACAATCTTGATCTTCTTCCTTGTCGTCCGAGAATCGATGTTCCTTCATTCTGTCGTCAAATGAAGACACTAAAGTCAATTTGTTACGGAGTGAAACATTAAAGAAAATTGTTTTTCGAGTTTACGGGAAAAAACTAAAGAGTAAAACATTGAAAATATGCCAAAATAGAAATTCTATTTTTTATTCTCAAAATAGGAGTTAAAATGAATTTAGAATGCCAAACATGACAAAAATTATAGTGAAGTGTACATGTAGAATGTCACATTACCATAGTGCGGATTTCTATTTAAGAAAAAAACATGAAGCTCTTACTTTGGTAATTTCTCAATATTTTACTCTTATTTAGTATAATTTCTTTTAGTATAGTGTTTTTAGGATAAAATGCTTACAAAGTCTCTGTTTTTTTTTTGAAAATGTTTCTGAAGTCCCTATATTTTTTTGAAAGTGCTTCTCTAAATTATCTTTTAGTGCCTATCCGATCCATATTCTTTTAAACCGGTGCGTAAGTGATTCCTTCAGTAACTTTTTTCAGTCAAGTGTCCTAAAATTGTTATAAGAATTGACGTTATATCATAAATTTTCCAAAAACTTGTGTGTGGTGATACAACAATTTCTGCGCACTTTATCTAAAAAAAGCCACTAAATGGACTACTAACACACCAATTACACAGTATATGAATCTGATGCGAATTAAAAATAATTTAGGGACTTATCAAATATTTTCAAAACTATATACAGATATAGTAAGAATTTAAAATAATTAGAATATTTGAAAAGTACTTTGATATATTTTACTCCCTCCGTACTATAAAAAAAGTTTTGTTTCATTTTTTTACGCATCCCAAAAAACACGTCTACCCTCATTTAAAATGCCAAAAAATTATCACATTTACTCTTTATTGTGGGTAGGAGTCGTTTTGAAAGTTTTTTTTAGCGTTCGAGGGGATATAGAAATATTTTATGGGATTAATAAAAGGTAACTTTTTTTATGAGGAGGGAGTATGTAATTAGTCTCTTACCAAATTTAGAGATGGAGATGGAGCTGGCGTTGCTGGTTCCTCCACTTCAGGTGGCGGCGGCGGGCTTCTCACAACTGGCGGCGGTGGTGGTGGGGCGTGGTGGTGGTGATGCCTGTGCTTGCGTCGCCTCCACTTCTTTCTCTTGTGCTTCTTGGGAGGCAGCGGTGCTTGCATGGGCGCCGATATCGGGGTCGCAACCGTTGGTGGCATGCTAATTGGCGCTGGTGCAGGAGCCGGTGACCGCCTGGGTGGTGGTGGCATGGCCGGAGGCTTAGCTGCCCGAGGCGGAGGCCGTTGTTTCTTTGCCGGCGGCAATGCTGGTGGCTGCGATGGCGGCGTTGAGACGGCATGTGGGGCGAGGGGTGTGAGTTGTGGTGGTGAAACTGGAGTAGCAGCTACTTTTGGAAGGTTGGTGGCTTGAGGCGGGACAGCGGTTAGAGCGGGCCGCGGCGTAGAGGCGATCGGAGGAATGGCGGTGGGTGTCGAGGGTGCGGCGGCCGGCGGTCGTGCACCGGCAATGGCTACCCACAAGGTAAAGCAAATGGTAGAATAGAAGAGATGGATCCAAACTTTGGAAGCCATACTGCCTTGGGATGAATTAGTTTTTTGAAAGTTCTTGATCTTGTTTATAAAGAGAATTGAGATTGAAAGTTTTAGCCGTTGGACTGATTAAATGCTTACTCCCTATAATTTGGTTATGGAAAACATAATGACTTTCTCAATATAAGATCAAGCGTTTTTATTTTCTAATATGAGACCATTGGTCATTAGCTACTAGACATTATTGAGTACAATTTAGAAAATAAAAAAGTTTAAGTCCTACATTGAGAAATTATTTATGTTTTAGTCCCATTTAATACAAATTTCACTTTGGTTATAATCTGTTCCATAAAACCTTTGCTCTTTCGTTTTTTTCCAATTCATTAAAACACTTCCACTTTCTATTAAAAAAACCACTTTTACCCTTATTTTTTCATAACCTACCTATCACATCATACTTTTTCACTAATAACCAAATGATCACATCTTACTTTTACCTATTACATCAAAGACAAAATTGGAAAGTCAATCAAAATTACATTTTTCTTATTTTAGCCCAAAGTCAAAATGAAAAAATAAAAATTTATTTAGTACAAAACAAGAAAAAAAGTTTAGTCACAACAAACTTTTCAAAAAAGAAAAAATAAAATTTATTTAGACAACCCAAAAAAGAAAATAAGGAAAATTAATTTGGTTTGGAGGGAGTATATGGGTAGTTTTCATTGAATTTTTCTTTGTTTGACTTTTTGTCATGTTAGTGTTAAATTGAAGCTAAAAAAGTTTAATTTCTAATCGACTCTAAATCTGGCCATGTAGTCTGATGTTAGTTTGGCGAACAACACAAAAACAATGACTAGGTTGCGGACATAGATTTCGACCAGCGACGCCACCTATGGATTATGCATGGCTGAGCTAGATGGCGATTCCACATACACAAAAACGACACATCAACAGCAACCTCTGGCCATTCCAATGCCTGTGGCAAGAGTGCAAGATGGATGTAAGGTCCACGTGAAATTATATTTTTAGCTCTTAATTTGACACCAACATGACTAAAAAGAAATCAAAAGACTATTAGTGGAAATGTACCCATAAACGAAGGACTACAAACGTAATATTAAATTATAGATGATTAAACATGATAAACAAACAATTTTAAAGAATACAACATCGAATAAGGATTGAATTGACACCGCTCCCTTACACTATGCTCTGATCGTAAATTGATGGTTCCTACCCCATAAACCCTCACACCAGCCCTGCATCCTTTTCCTTAATCACTATTAAATAAGATTCAATGACGATTAAGGGAAGGAGACAGAGAGTGAGGTGCGCTGGGAGTTTAAGAGTCGTGTTAGTGATATGAGTTATGAATTTTATTATCGGAACATCGAAGGTACCTTAATTTAACCGGTGTCGTCGTTTGACACCATTTGAAGTGATGTGAAAATAGACTTACTCATAATATACCCTATTCAAATTTTTTAAAATCTTAATGTTTATAGAGTTAAAGTGAACAAATTAGTTTAGAATTACATCACAAATTTATAACATTTGTTAAATAACGATTCGATCTTTCCATTTTTTAAAAAGTTGGAGTTTCCATGTCCAAACTAAGCTATTGTCATTTATATGTATTTGACAAAAGTGTGTCACAAAACGGTACTTTGTTGTCATCAATAGAAAATATAACAATTTTAATTTGTAATGTGACACGAATAAAAAAGAATAATGATAGTTGAACTTTATAAATTAAAATGTCCATATTGCAAATTAAATACGGAGTATGTGTGAACTACAATTCTAGAATGGTTTTTTCACTTTAGAAATGGAAAGAAAAAAAGTCATCCTTTTTTACCTGAAAAATTGGCAAGTGTTCATTTAAGAACAAATGACATAGAAGTTGAACTGGTGAGTGTTCATTTGGACAGCATTTTTCTTGACATTTGGGTATGGCATTGTACTCCGTAGTTAGTATGGAGTCCTTTTCATTAGCTAAATGCAGCAACAAAACAAACTTTTTGTACACCATTAGCTATACACCAAGCTATACGGATTGGATTAAGCACACCAAAATTGTACCTCATTTTATACTCAAATGTACGCACCGACATTTTGTGCTAGTGTGATTTTAGTGTGACGATTTACACTCACAAAAAATGCCAGTATACATTTTTTAATTGAATTGAACTAACATTTTCTGTTAGTGTGAACCGTTAAAATGTCAATTTTTTTTTTGGGGTACACTTTTGGCTCTAGCATGATTGATACGGTTTATATCAACAATATTTTTTGTTCAATCGAGATATTTTGACATGATTCATTGATGTCATAATATAACATTATACCTTTTGAAAATCTTAAAATGTTATGTTAGATTTAAGGGAAAATTCCAAATATGGTACTAAAACAATGCTAATTTCCAAAAGTAGGACCAGTACTACCGGATTTGGAGAAACGCGCAAGCCGCAATTTCCGAAAATCGAGAGACATTTACGAGCGAGAAGAAATCTAGGGAAACGAGAAGATAATCGACCAGGGCATTAAACAATCCAGGCTCACCTTCTCTCGATGCAAATCTAAAGGAGCGAAAATAGAGAGAGAGTGTGCGAATCTAGGAAAGCGATACCAATGGCTTCCATGAAGGTAACAATGGCGTCTAAGAAAGGTGAAAGCGAAGATAGCGATTTTGTGACGAGGGAATCCGATGATATGCTTCTGACAATGCCTAACGGACTCATAAGCTTTGAATTTTACAATTTCAAATTGATGAACATGAATTGAACTTTATGAAATTGAAGTTTATGAAATTGATTGAAGGCATGCATTCTGTTATTGTTGATTGAATTCAATAGTTAAGTTTTCGATTAAGCATGTCTACAATGTCGTCTATTAATGTCTACTTGGTCTAATTACTGTCTACTCGGTTTTATTAATGTCTAATTATTACAGTTTTTTCATTGAGATATAAGTTTTGAAGGCTTAAGAAAATCATAAATCCAGCAGATGAATTTGTGCTTTGAACAATTCAATTGTGGTTGTGTGTAATAAGAAAAGTCTGATAATGTCTACCTGGATTATTACAAATTACGAGACTATGTTCCATTGGCGTATTACTGTCTACTCGTCTATTAATAAGAATAATGTCTAATAATGTGTACCTGAATTATTACAAATTATGAGAATATGTGTTCTGTTACCGTATTACTGTCTACTAATGTCTATTAATAAGAACAATGTCTGATAATGTCTACCTGGATTATTACAAAATATGAGACTATGTGTTCCGTTGGCGTATTAATGCCTCTTAGGCATTTGAATGAATATAATGATATTTGTGGATGATGAGACAATGTCTTTAGTTAGTGAATGAATGTCCTGTTAAGTCTTAAAATGAATATAATGACATTTTTTATTGGGCCATAAAATTTTGATTGCTTATGAGAAGCATAAAGTCAAGCGGATGTTACTGTGCATTGAAATTGGTGTATTAATGTCCTCTAAGGCATTTGTATGAAAACGTAAAATACTTTCTAATGCAATTTGTGTTGTGTTTTGGAAACGAAGTGAACAGAATTTTGTTTAATGTGATATGTCTATAAACGCTTATGTAAGCCGAACCTACTGGATACAAAAACTGAAGCTAAAATAAATTCATACTGCAATTTTGGTAATGAGGTTAAGAAGTTGAAAGAAGTGCTTTCAAAAGGCGAACTAAGTGAATTTCAAAAGACTACCTTTGGATATTGGTTAGACATTGGAGAATTGAAATGTGTTAATGGCCAACTTCTAATTATTCTCACACTCAACCATGTGGAGCCGATGGACAGAGTGCACGCCTCTGAAGAAATTTCATTTTTCATTTGTGGCAGACTGATTAAATTCACAAAGAAAGACTTCTAGGAGGTGAGTGGTTTTAGGTTTGGGAGCAGCAGTGAAAAAATGGAGAATTATACAGAACCAAGTGACATAAGTAAAAGATACTTCAATGGTCAAATGAATGTGACAAGAGAGGATGTGAAGATTGAATTTGAGAGAGTCAAGAGAAAAAAAATAGAGAAGCTTTAGATGCAGTGAAGTTGGGGCTCCTATACATGTTAGGGACCTGTATAATTGGTAACCAGCCAAGTATTAAACTCCCTGGACAGTATCTCCAATTGGTCGATGATTTATCCAAGTTTAATAGGTATCCATGGGGAGAAGATGTGTGGAAAGATCTGGTAGAGAATGTTCGGAAATGTTGTTGTATTATGAATACAAGCAAGAAACCAATGTTCAATTTACCTGGATTCCATTTCGCTTTACAGATATGGGCGTATGAAACATTTCCAGCACTGATGCAAGAGAAGGAATGTATACTGGACGAAGGAAAGAAGACATCATGGCCAAGGGCATTGAGATGGTCAGCGGACGAGAGGACCACCAAAGAGTTGTTGGAGAAGAAAATATTCAAAAATGAAAAGGTAAAACTTAAAAAAACAAAAGAGATGTGTGGGGTACTGTTTTGTATATAATATTGTATTTTTTTATCAAAATTAAATTTACATTGAATCATAATATGCCATTGTTTTGATTTGCAGTTTGAGTGGACAGAGATGATCAAATCTGATGAAGAAAAACTCATTCTCAAAAAAGCCAGGAACCGATTCGCCATCAACATTCAGCAATATATGATATGAAGGAGGTTGAGCAGACATTGATTTGAGAGAGAAGAGTATGATCGATTTGCAGAAAGACGAAGAAGAGAGCGCGCGGCGGAAAATTGAGTTGGAGAAGAAGGTGAAATTTAGACGTAAATAAGAGAGGGTAAAATAGGGAGATCAGGTGCAAATTAGTTCCATTTTTGGAAAAAAAACAAGTGGTACTAAAAGGGGAAAGGCACCAAGTTTTGGTACCATGCGGGGCAAATTTTTCTAGATTTAACACTACGGGAATAATGTCATAGGTACGAGATAGGGGGTGCTTGTCGCACCAAGTGAGGGATTGGCGTCAGTCAAAAGAGCGCCCAAAATTGTCTTGGTAGTGTTTATTTGCCCGCCAAATGGTCTTAGGTGCTGGTTGCGGCGAAGGGGCCAACGATGATAAAGTACAAAAAAGAAAGGCCGGTGCTAGGTAAGAGGCTAGTTGGGGGTCGAGTGGGGTTTATTTGGGGTAGGTTGTAAATGAACCGAATAATTTTGATTCGATTCGATTCACAATTCATATTTGTTTGCATTGATTCATATTCAATTCAAAAACTTGAATCGGAGCCTGAATACGAACAATATTTGTTATCATTACATTAAACGAATACGAATAGTCGAATATACCCATATTTGATTCGGTCCCTAACTATACACACAAACACACATGTATATATGTGTGTGTATATATATATATGCATATATATATTCAAAAAGATGAGTAAAATAGTAAATATTTAATAATAAATAGAGAATTCACTAATTACTTAAAAGTCAAATTTATGTTTTTTTTTTCATCTTCAATGTGTAACCTATGAGTTTATATTATTTTTATCAAAAGCTAATTCCAAACTATATTATACAAAGAGTTTTAGAAAAAATAGTTTAATATCATTCACATTTTTAAAAATAAATTAAATGTTTATACGATACTTTAAAATATAAACGAGTTGAGTATTTTTGAACAAACCAAATATTTTTAAATAAACTAAATTTTTAAACAAATAAAATATCTTATGTGCGATAAACAAATCAATTTTGAATCTTTGAAAATATTCAAAGCAAATGAGAATATGAATACCATCCAAAACTAACGAATATGAATCATCAATATTTAATTCGATTCGGTTTACAATTTTAGTTTGAATGGGGTGGGGTGGAGGGATAGTTTTTATGTGCTCTTTATGAGATAAAAGTTGGGGTGGGGTGGGGCTTTGTGGGGTGTTAGGGGTCTAATAGCCTAGACGTGTTGGGGATTGTGGAATGCACGAAACTTTGCGGTTAGGGAAAGACAAGTGCCACTCTTGAGGGCAATGTGGCAACTCGTGTTTGCTATGGATAGCACGTGGATGAACAGGTTTGACGAAACATGATAACTTTCAACCGTTCAACAACGGCTAATATTTATGGCGTTATGCCATAAACTTCGAAATGTTTCATAGATGTTGGGCTGTTTTTGCAAGATGAGTGCTTTGCGTTAGAGTTAGTTATTTTTTTTTGCCTGATCGATCTTTCGTAGCAGTAATTATGACAGGAGGGATGTGCCTCAAGATCTTATATCAACGGATAGGCTCTCTTTGTTAATGTCGAATGATATTTGTGACGTGAAGATTTTTTAAATTGTGAGATTCTTGTTCGTGTTCTTAAACAAGGGGAAGGGTCAGATGGTTTATTTTGAGATGTTTGTCTATTTTGATTGTGTCTCTTTTAGTTTTATTAGTTGTGAACTGAGTACGGTGGCAGATACCTTAACAAAAAATTCTATCGTTCAGCCAGATTCTTGGGAGTTTAATCTACCGAGCTTTGTTTTTCATTTGATTTATACTTAATAAATTGTTTTCACCATAAAAATGATTAGTATTCAGCGAGGGAAGAAGGGACTGGGAGATGACAGCGAGGGACGGGAAATGGTGACGTGGATCGGGGGATGGCAATGGGGCACCAGGCCCGAGGGATGACGGCGAAAAGAAAAATAGGAGAAAGAAAAAAATAAGAAAAAGAAAGAAAAAAGGAAAAGAGAAAAAAAAAAGAATGAAAAAGAGGAGCAAATGATCATGTAGTCCGATGATACTGCTATGACACTTCCAAACAGACTTGGCAAAAAATGATCCGACCTATTTTTGACCTGAGACACGACCCGAAAATACTGGGTTTTGAAAAATGGTTTTGCTGATCGAACCCGAAACTATCTGTTAAAAATAGGTCAAACTCGACCGAACCCGAGCCAACCAACCCGCTAATATAATAATTTTTCAAAATCATATGCTTTAATATGTAATATAATATTATAAAAATAAGATGTAATTATATTTCTTTGCTTACTACTCGTTCTTAATGTATAAATTTATATTTTCATAAATTTTTTTAATGATATCGCATAATTATCTTATTTTATTCAAAATCTTTTACATATTTAATTTTTTTATTCACAATATTGACAATCAATCATAAAAATTATTTAAAATTTCAAAAAATAAATGAAAGTGATAACCCGTTAGGTCAATCCAAATCCGATGTCATTGGGTCATGAACATGCAGCTGTCAACCCGAACCTGAACTTACTTGAACTCGAAGTAACCTGAAGCTCAGGTGATCGAACACGAACTCAACTTGACCGATCATTTTGCCAGCTCTACTTCCAAAAAAATGGGGTTATATTAGTTTTTTTTCTTTTTTGAAAAAGAATGCTAGTTTAGAAAGACCCGAGATACAAGAACCCTAGCCGCCGCTGGGCGCTGCTGAGCTCCGTTGTTCCACTTACCAGTTACCAACGACCACTGCCCTCACCGTCCGTCCGTGACAGCCAGACGCCGCCTCTTCCCACCGCCGCGACACCGTCGTCCAACTGCCCGACGCCCCCACCGTCCACATTCATCTTTTCAGAATTTTAAGTTCAATCCAAGGCATTGCAGAAGCAACCTCTGCCGAGGGATCTAAGGCACCTTGCATTTTGCGATGGCAAAGTTGAAGAGAAGCGAGGAAGGTAATGAGGGAAACAAGAGGAGGAAAATAAGTCGTTCCAAGAAGTCTAACAAGGAGGAGAGGGGAAGGAGAAGGCATGGGCCCAGCTTGCCCAATGTCCTCCGTAAACAGATTGCTCTTCAGAATGAGTCAGACACTGATTCTGTGCACTCTGATGTCGTTGCTGATAATAATCTGTACGAGAACGATGAAGATGTTGCCGAGGAGGATTCTAAAAAGAATAAAAGATATGATCCTGTAGGTAATTACCTCAGCGAGCTGCTTGACCTTCCTGAAAACTTCAAGGTATCTCCTGTGGACGAAGATTTGATTTTATACTCAATTTTATGCATCTAGTTGTTTAGATAATATTTATTTGTAGAATTGTATGAAACTCATAATCCTAATTGAGTTGGGATTATGCTGGGTTGTTGTTGCTGTTGTTAGGATAACGTTCAGAATCAATTTGTGTACTAGAAGATGATACATTACAGAAAGACCCAGCAGTGAATCTTCCGAGCTCCTGGTCTTTTTCTTTCATTGAATTTAAACAAAGTTTTAAGAAAATGGAATTCTACATTCAAATTCTGCTCTTAGTTTGTTCTATGAGGACTTGTGTAATATGTTTAACTGAGAAAGCTTATTTTTTTTCTCTCTGAAGGATGTAGATGTGACATCTGATGATGAAGACTATGAAGATGATGAGAACAATCAAGACATTGATGATGTTGAGGAGGATGCTGGTGAAAGGCATTCACGGATGCTGCAGGGAATAACTGGTCTGCCCAGTGATGCATTTGCAGGTAATATTTTATTTTCTGCCTCAATTTGTTTGCAAGTATTTTGTCCACGCTTGAGCCTTGTTTACATAAGAGACTCGTGTAGACAACGATTTAGCTTTGGTAAATAGTGGACTAAATTAGAATGGGGCATTAAACTTCCTCTGCTTTTTACTTTCAATAAAACTTTGGGTAATAAATGCAGCAATGCATCAAATGTCTAAAAGAAACAGTGTCTGTAAAATAAAGTGGTAAGACTGTGTATCTATTATCTTGACCCCCAAACCTCAACAGTGTTGGGATTGAGTTTATATTGGGTTGTTGTTCTCTTAGTGAATACTTGAAGTGTTGCAACCTGATGCCGTGGATATGCTAAAGTTCATGATTAACATATTGTTTCTAATATATCTATTCACTGATTCAGTTAAAGATATTGGTTGGTTCTTACTTTTAATAAGTACGGAGTAAACTTTTTATATTTCAAATTTTGTAACTTCAATTGCTGGAGACAACACTTGGGAAATGCTCTAACTTTGAAAAGGTGGAACTTTGTTAGGGAAGAAGAAATGTAATGATATAATATTTGAGGCCTACCCAGAGTCTGAATATAATCCTAGCCATGATATTCTGGATGGTGATGGCCGCATTAGCATTGACGATCTTCTAGACCCTCTACGTAAGAAGCCAGCCTACAACAAAATTAGGCCGGACATAGAAAGAATGAAAGAAAAAGCCATGTCCATTCATGCACCTCTCCCTAGACCAGATCAAGAAAGACTGGAAAGGAAAGCTGCCTATAAACACTCCAAAAAGGACATTACAAAATGGGAACCATTGGTCAAAAGAAACAGAGAAGCATCTACTATCTATTTTGAAGAAGACATAGACTTGGGATTTTCAACTGTAGGTGCAATAGCTGCTGACTTTAAACCAAGAACAGATTTTGAAAAGAAAATTGCTTCTTTAGTTGGTGACAGTGGAATAGTTGAAGCACACAAGAATGATGGTGCAAGACTTCTTGAACTAAATAAGGTATAATCATGAACTTCATCGTATATCCATTATGGTTTTCAAATCTTTAATCTCATTTTTTCAGTATTGTGTAAGAAAAGGAGGTGAATATTGCACCATATTCACAATCTTTTATGTTATTTATTTGGCAGTTAAGCTTTGAAGAGGTGAAGGATCGCCAAAATCGACTGGCTAAAATGCGCAGCCTTCTTTTCCGCCATGAAATGAAAGCAAAACGGCTCAAAAATATTAAGTCCAAAACATATCATCGTTTGCTGAAGAAAGATAGATTGAAATCAGAAAATACTGCAGAGACAGATCCTGAAATTGCCAAAGAATTGGCTATGAAACAAGAGTTTAAAAGGGCAGAGGTAACTATTGTTACTGACACGGATGTGATTATTTATTCTTGTTTCTTAGGCTAAAATTTATTGAGATTCAATTTTATGCAGGAACGCATGACTCTGAAACACAAGAATAAATCCAAATGGGCAAAGCGCATCATAAAACGTGGTTTGTCAGTACAAGATGAAGGAACACGTGCTGCTGTGACTGAGCAACTGAACCAGCATGCTGTGTTAACTAGGAAGATGAACTCTATGAATGAGGGTAGCAGCACCAGTGATGATAGCAGTGATGAAGATGACATAGATGATATTTCAGCTGGCTCTGATGGGGATATTGAATTTAAAGTGTTAAATAAAGCCAAGGAGAAGACACTTAAAGCACTCGAAGAGGATGAAGATTTGCCTACTACAGGATTGTTGTCTTTACCTTTCATGGTATTTTTTTTGTGAATTTTCTCTATTTTGTGGTTATCACGTTTATGGGAGGGCATGCGCTAGGTTGGGTTTGACTCGAGTCTATAATACCTGAAAGAAGTTTGGGCAGTTGGGTGATATATTCGAGGCCCAAATATGACACTAGCAATATTGGGTGTACTTTGGCTTATCCAGCCCTGGGTTTGTTTGTTCAGGTCCATCGAGATAAATTTTTTTTAAATGACATAAGTCACACTCCCTTCGTTCCGGTTTAATTGCTATTTCCTTTTTGGTATGTCCCAAAAAAATATGCACACTTCATTGCTTTCCTAAACGAGTAAAGAATATGTGGTCCATAATTCTCCTTTTTCTTCTAAACAAAGTTCAACCATTCACTTTTAACTTCGCAACACTTTTCTAAAACTCTGTGTTCAAACCGTAAAAATTAAACCGGGACGGAGGGAATCTTAGTTGTCATAAATTTTGTCATTTTTAGTGAATGGTAACAAAATGATAGAAAAATTGTTATAAACCCATAATTACATATACATCAATACATGTGTAATGGTTGAATTGATATATAAAATCACAAAAATGCATTCATTATGAATCCTTTTATTTTCTTGCAACTTATAATTTATAATTTATGTAGTGGGGTACTGCATTGGTAATTTTGGGGTTTTGGTTGAGCGCGACACATAATTTCTAGTCTGAGACCGACAAAGTGGTTACTGTACTTTACAAATATCGGGTCTGGTTTACCTTCTTTTTATTGGAGCCTGATCCTAATTATAGAACTTCGGGTTGAACACAATAAAATATCTTGACCTACCTGTGCATTTCTACAAAATCACATGCTCTCTTAGTTTTAACTAATTATTATGTTTGCTCCATTTGTGTAGGTTCGCAGTGAGAAAAAGAAGAAGGCTGCAGCTGATGAAGAAGCAAATATCGCTCTTCAAGAGTATGAAGCATCATTGAATGCGTTGAAGGACAAAAGTGTCGCTGAAACTCGAGAAGCGAATGTTTTGAGTGGTAGGAGGGTCTTTGGGGCTTCCAAGAAACAGGTTCATCCAAAACCTAGTGATACAAAGAAGATGAAAACAGATAATTATTATGACGACAGCAGTAGTGAAAGCATGGACGGTGATGAAGTAAAAGATGATGGGCATGCCAACAAGAATAATGCAACTCAAGATGTTTCTTTCCATCCTAATCTGCTTTGTGAGGAGCCTGAGACAGACCATTATCCTATTTTAAAGGTGATTAAATTTCTGAAATTTGCTGGGCGGTAACTACTACTTTAATGTAATTAACTGATTATATTTATTTTTACTAGTATTCTTTAATCAAGTTTATTTTAAATTTAAGGGTGATGTTAGTTTTACCTTTTATGAAATTTCAGAGTTTTGAGGATATTGTTAAAAACCCTGGGCCCAAGACAACATATGAAGTAGCAATTATTGCATCCAAGGAAAATAAAAAGGTATCCTTTGTTGCCTTAATGTGTTTAGTTTTTTTTTCTTTTAAACAAGCTTTACGTATGTACTTGTTTGGGTAATCTGCAGATGAAACACTTACCAAATAAGAATGAACATAAACTCTCAAGGAATGTCTCTGCTGCTGACACTAAAGAGACCACTTTATCTGCAGTACAAGAAGGCAATGCAGAGGTAAATATCCTATGTGCAATTGCCATGCACCTCATTACCCTCTTACCATTCAGTGCTTGTTTGCCAGAGGTTATCTTGCTGAATTTTCTGAAAGGAACAGCATTTGTAACATCCAGTTCACCCATATAACAGACTAAGCCTTATATTTTTCAATATTCCTCCGGGAGTGTTTCTTCATTTATTTAAGTTGCTATATAAGCAGGAAATGGATGATGCCAGTGATACAGACAGCGGAGGACAAATGGTTGACGGGATGTTATGTTCAGGCGATAAGTCAACTTATAAACTCCCATCTCAGGAAGAACTTATCCGTCGTGCTTTTGCGGGTGATGATGTTGAAGATTTGTTTGAGAGAGAAAAACATAGTATATTGAGTGAGGAAGTTCCAGAACCCGAAAAGCCCACTTTACTTCCTGGATGGGGTCAGTGGACAAGTGTACAGAAAAAGAAAGGTCCACCTTCTTGGATGCTTGAGGAACATGAGAATGCCAAAATTAAAAGGGAAGAAGCGCTCAAGAAAAGGAAGGATGCCCATCTTAAACATGTTATAATCTCAGAGAAGTGGGACAAAAAGGTGTTTTTTTATTTCCGTCATATCTTTCATTCTCTTTCCAAAATTTGAAATTCTCCAATGATTTAGGTCCCATTTTGTAAGTTTTATTTGGAAGAAATGGCTCCATCTGCTAATCCTTTTTGTTATGATTATTTTACTGGTAGAATAAGGTGTTTAATGCTCCCAAACAGGGCCTTAGAGTGCATTTGGGATAACTTATTTTCAAATAACAAGTGTTTTTGGAAGAATTAAAATAAATACTTGTAGGAAGTGCAGATTGGAGCTTATATGTATATTGACAATTCATTCTCTATTCAACAATGTCTATATGTTCTGACAGGCTGAGAAATTACACACAAAGACATTGCCTTATCCCTTCACATCCAAAGATGTATTTGAGCAGAGCATTAGGATGCCAATTGGACCTGAGTTCAACCCTGTAACAGCAGTTGCAGCACTCAATCGGCCAGAGGTGCTAATTCCTACATGTTCCATCAATTCTCCCATATATGCTTCTCACATACCAATTACTTTCAATTGTGTGAAGTGTTTGCTTAGTCCCTTTGCTATGTGGCATTAGCAATATAGTTCCTCATTGTTATTATTATTATTTTTGCAAAATAATACTCCCTCCGTCCCACAAAAAAGTTCCCATTTTGACCATAAATTGGTCAAACTGTTGCACACTTTGACCTTAAATTAAATATAATCTAAATAAAGAAATGCTAAAAAAATTTGAGATATCAAAACTAGATCCTAAGATGAATCCAATTATATAAAATTTATTTCATAATTCAATATACATTTCTCACAATTTGTAGTCAAAGCGTGTAAATATTTGACTAAATACTATTTAAAATGGGAACTTTTTTGTGGGACGGAGGGAGTATCAGTTTACACTAATCTGTTTCTTCCATTGCTAATGGTGCCAAAAGAGCCACTCTTGTCAATGTTTTAGCTTCTCATAAATAATAGACTAGATAAAGTGACGAATGAAACTTCACTTGTTTCTTATTTTCTATGAACTTTTGGGAAGAAAATGCATCAATGCATTAAGGGTCTATAGGTTTTGGATTACTATGGGTTTGTAGTTAATCCTTGTTTACACCAGCCATTTTAGTCCCTCACTTGGGACTAAAAAGAGTAATATGGGCCCATTTGATAATTGTTGTATTTGGCTAAAAATGAGATTTGAGGGGATGTGCTGAATTTCTTGAAAGGAAAAACATTTAGTCGAGTCCAAATGAGTCAAAAGCTGAATATATCCTTATAAGCCAGATAAGGCTGCCGAAGAAAGCCTAGTTTTTTCTTTATGGATAACATGGTAAATGAGTACTTTACTTTCCAATATGAGAATAATTGTGAATAAGAGTAGTCACACCAGCTATGCCATACGGAGCAAAGTGCTGGGCGGTGAAGGAAACTCATGTTATCCCTAACAAGCTTATTTGGGGAAAGGTGGGAGTGACACCTGTCCATGGAAGATAAGCTCGGAGAAACTAGTAGACATGTAAGGAGAAGTTCAGAGGCCCAGTGAGGAGATGTGATTGGCATGTGGTACTGGGTGTGAGAAGGGGTAGAGTTAGACCAGGGAAGCGATAGAAGAAGGTGATTAGACAGGAGTTGCGATTTCAGAATCTTACAAATTATAAGACCTTTAGATATGAACATATGCAGATTTAGGATTAGAATATGTGTGTTTTGTGTTTTGGGTCTATTTGCTAGTGGGGTGTGCGTGATTCCTGCCTTTGTGCTATTACTTTATTTGTTACTCTTTTGTTTGAACTCGGATTGGAACCAAAACAGTCTCTATACTCTCGAGTAGGGGTAAAGTTTGTCCACACACCCTCCCCGTACCTATTTTTATGAGATTTTATTGGGTTTGTTGTTGTGTAAATGAATGTGTGACAAGTATTTCTTGTATTATTTTTTCCCCTCTTGTAGGTTGTGAAGAAACCTGGCATGATCATAAAACCTATAAGTTATGAGGATGTGGATCCTCATGAAAGACATGATGTCGAGCATAAGCGTGTCGTTGTTGGTGGTGGTGGAGATAAGCGGAAGCAGAAGAAAGGTAAAAAAGGTGGTGCAAAAGCCGCAGCCTCAAAGACGACTCGGTCCAAGCCAAAACCATAGAGTTTGGCTGGATATTTTTATTTTTTACTGTAAAATACAATCTTTTTTGTAGTGATAGATATACTTTGACTGCAAATATTTAAATCAAACATTGTTTTCTCCTATACCATAGTTTTCTTGTCATAAAAAAATGGTATCCATCTTACCATGTATACCTTGTGATTTCATTATATGAAGTATTCGATTTTTGTTTCGATTCCATTCTTGTAATCCTTTTGTTCCAAGATGAACTTTAGGGAGATGAAGACATTGATAAAAGTAAAGAGTGGTTTGAATTTGTTTTGAAGAAAGAAAATTTGAGACTTGTGAGCCATTTATCCCTTCCTTACTATTTTGTCTTCTTGATAATTTTTGTTTGTTTGTTTTTGATGATTATTTAACAAAATAAAATATTTGTGGCAATTCTTATTTTGTAATACTTTTGAACGGAATAATTTATATATTTTATTTCTTTATTAACTTGTAAATAAAATAATTTTAAAAGAGATGATATTTTGAGATGGAAGGAGTTTGTTGATTTTGTGAGCACATGTTTCTTTTTTGGGAGGGATATTTTGTGAAGAAATTAATCCAAGTAGAAGTAAAATATACGGAGTATAATTTATTTTCAAAATAGGAATTTTTTTATTTTTTTAAATAAGAGTTTGCACTTTAATATTATGACATTATATGGTGACATTTCATTATATTTTTTGGTATTATATGTTGACACTATTGGTGTTGTATTTTTATTTTGGAGATAAAAAATGAAACTTCTATTTTTATACTTTTATCATTTTTTATTCTTAATTTAGTCTTTTTTCCTTTGATTCGTCACATATGTGTCTATCCACTCAAGTCCTCAGGAAAATTTTATCTTATTAAATAATGAAAATGTTGACGGAAAATAATTTTATTTAGAAATCAGTTTTTCATAAAAAAATAAACTTCTGTAAAAATAGTTTTTGAAACCAAATGAACCATTAGGTTTAGCCTTTTAGGATCCAAATATCCAATCATCATTTGAATTGAGTTTGGTTACTACCCAAATCCGATCCAAAATTACCCGCATAGCGTCTTTGAGATTTTCGTCGACCCGACCCCCGTACCCGCCTGTATCGTAGAAGTTCCCACTTCCCGGTGGATGTCACCTATCTTCCCGGCGGCGGCGGCGGCGGCATTGCTTTCCCTCCTGCTCCGTTGAAAACCCAAATTTCAACCCGCCTATTCCACAATTCCAAACTATTCCGCTCTAGCATCAAGCACCTTGTCGGAATTATTGAAGGCATAAATGACCTAGGTTATCTGCTGTATAAAACCTTCTCAATCTTTTCAATGACTCGCAGAACCTCCAATCGAATTTGCGTAGCTCACTTGGTCTGAATACATATTAAAATCATTTATAATCACTGGATTTATCTGTTTATTTTTAAAGTCAAAATCCTGTTCTCCTGCAATTTGAGTGGAATGTGCTTCTTCATACGGTGTGCAGATTGGTGAACTGAAATTAGGTTATATACTATTGGACTGGATATGAGCTGATTTGTTCTTAAAATGAGTAGACTATCAATTCGACCGCGGCCACTCGACTTTAACAAGAAGCTGCCCATTGTAAAATCTTTCAAGGACTTTGATGATGACATAGAGCTCCCCTCCAATACCCGCAACCAGATTCTACGCCTTGCAGCTGAAGCTGCAGAAAATGAGGTTCCCTTGCTTCACCTGGAAGTTCTTATTGACCTGTTCTTATATTACTTGCTTTGCTTGGTTTGGTGTTAATAGTTTAATGCTTGTGATGTCAAATAGAGCTCTTTTAGACGTTTTAGTACATCATTGACCTGATTGAAACTTGTGTTCATTAGGTACATCAAGTTTCTGTCAAGAAATTGGTTTCTGAAATACCTACTCCGGAGTCGGTTATTGTAGATACATATGAAAGAGATTATTTGCCCAATTTTGCTCAACCAACGTCATACATTCATGCAAGAGGAGGTTTGTAGAGTACATAATGATTAAGTATCTGTAAGTTCTCAGCAAATGAAGATTTTTTTGAATGTCGTTAAAATTATTATTATAGCTCGAGCTGAGCTTGGAGAATTTGTGGAGTATGATCTTGACAATGAAGATGAAGATTGGCTTCAGGAGTTCAACAAAGAAAGAAAACCCCTTCCAGCTGAAACGTGAAGACTTTATTATATTCCTCCCTCTTACTTTCTGTAACACTGATTTTCTCTGTAATTAGCATGACATCATTCAATCTTTAATACAGAAAATTTCCTTAGAAATGTTTTTAGTGTTGCATTATCTTCATTAACATTACTTGTCTATACGGGATTTGGTAAAGAACCTTACTGTTAATGCCAATGGGTTTTTGAATATATGGAATTTCAAGTGGCGCGACTTCTTTTCTATTGTATGATTTTTCATCAATACTCCGTATTATATTGAGTTAGGTCTGAGGATTAAGATGGTCATTGCATATCCCTGCCTCTTTGTTTATGATGTTCTGCACATGAAAGCCTTGTCAACATTTCCAACAGTGTTTGCTCTCTCTCTTTAGGCATGTGGCTTAATGCTTGCTCTAATATCACTTTTTTGTGGACAGGCTTGAGATGATACTGTTTAAACTGGAGGTTTTAGATCATAAGACCCGGGAAAGAGCAGGAGTAATTAATCCTACTTTTGCATCACCAATTCCCGTGCTTCTTAGTTTTGATGCTGCTGTTGAGGTGAAAATCATGTCTGATTCATATCCTAGTTATATAAACTATTAATTTTATTTATCTTTTGAATGTTGGTCTCGGAAGAATCTTCAATATATATAACTTCACGTAAGAGACATTACGTGAAGTTATATTCATTGATTGCTTTAACAGTTTGTAAATGTTAAATATTTGTTGAAACATTAGGTTGATCCTAAAATTTGGGTGTTGTGAGTAATACATGCAACTGATATTTTTTAGTTAATCTAATGCATTCTTGCCAATTAATTCACAGTGATTTGTTCAAATGCTAGGCCTTGCAATCTGTTTCCACTACGTATGGAGTTTTCCAGTCTATATATAGCTACTGGAAAGAAAAGGTACGAATCCAACAGAATGTAATGTTCCATACTTCCATAATCAAATGAATTTTTTATTGCTTATTACGGGTCTAGGGGTAAGGTTGCGTACATCTTGACAGAATTGGGATTATTAAGGGTTTGATGTTGTTGTGCAATATAACAATGCTTTACTAACTGCAGAAAACACAATACACACATAGCCTCATCATTACCTTGATCTCAATTCCCAACATTGTTGGGGTTGATAGCATGAAATTTCTAGTGCCAATTAACTGTCTAGGATTAGTTAACACTACAAACTCTTTCAAAAAATATATTGGCAAAATTTTATGTCAGATGCCTTTCCTGTTGCAATCATATAAATAATGAATAATAATTCCGGAACTATCAATTTTCATACGTTTTGTACCAAAAGTGATACAAACACTTTTTGTCATGACAGCTTTTTCATTGGCAAGATGCCTCGTTATTAACTTTTTCTTCATGGTTAAAAGTGAGGCATGACAACTAGAATGAATTCTATGTATCAAGTTCATTAATTGTTTCTTTAGATTTTTTTCTTAATTTATTTCTGAAAGGTGAATGAATTGTCATGCAATCTTATCTTGGTGGGATTTTCATTTTTTTCGTCCATCAGCGTGAACGGTGGCTGAAGCCTGTTCTTCGGCGCCTGCAGGTTAGTAGTGTGTTGATGTATGCTCTTGACCCAATTTTTTGTTTGACTATGCAAATTTTGCTCAATTGGATTGGAATCTCATGATATCTTGATGTTTATTTTCGGAATTTGATTTGCAGCCACCTCCATCGGTTAATGATACCAACCCCTATAATGTATTTAGACCAAGGGAAAAGGCTCACAGACTTCACACTAGGAGGGTATGTGAATGGAGTGCCTTTTTACGATTATCTAGTGAATATTCTGCTATGCTAATGTTTTAAGTTCTGAATCATCACTGTTGTATTCATGGCTTGTTTCACATTTTTCCCCAGATGCAAAGGAGGGAGAACAATGTTCAATCATTTGAAAAACTTCGACAGGTGAGCTCAAATTCCATTTGGGCAGCCAATTTGAAATGTTGGTCTTTTTCAAAAACTTGGTTTTCACTGAATATCCTTGCTACTTCAATATAAAAATGGAATGCTTTTTGAGGATGAATACAATCAACCTATTTTGATGTCTTTAATTTATTCTTTATTTGCTTAGAAGTTCTTTATTTGTTTCCTTCGTTGGTTCCTTTTCTTTTTTTAAATCTAAGATTTATTAGGTGGTAAAATCAATGTTCTTTTAGTGGTATAAATTTTGAATTGGAAGCTATTATGATAGTTTTTGCTGGTGCAACCCACTTATTGATGTCATTTGACTTTTTTTTACCAGAAAAATGTTTTGTGTGTGTGTGTGCGCGCGAGTGAGAGAGAGAGAGAGAGAGAGTGTGTGTGTGTGTGGGGGGGGGGGGTTACATGTTCCTGTTGAATGTTATGGTGACTCCAAGACTCATATA